TCTAATTTGCAGCCCTCAAAATTGTTAAGAGGTGAATCTTGTTTGGCAAAAAAAAGTTTGTTTCTTAATGATTCTAAAACTCTCTGAATGATTTTGTATCATGTGCCTCTCTTAACCATTCCTCGTTCTAATTTCATTGTAAACAATTGTCAAACAATTATATTTCATTTTTCATTATATGATAGTATCTTAATCATTCTCACTACTTAATCATTTTTCATCAAACCATTCAACAACCGTCAACATTCCTTTAATAAAATATTTTCATGGTATTATGAGATAATTTCTAATAATACTCTACATGTTGTAATTAAGTATTAATTAATATTTTTTTAAACGATTATTAATTAATAATGAAATATTACATTAGTAATTTTTTCAAAAGTAATATTTAATCAATAATTAAATACTTTATTATAAATATATTTAATTAATGACAAATAAACAGTTGTTGGGCATAATCGAAAGAAAGGGACAAACCTCTTCGAGTTACTCTAACTCAATCCAGTCTTTTTCAATAAGCTCTTAAAGAACTAAGATAACTTATAGTTGTCAAATATAACTAGGGACATGATTGGTAAATTACTAATCTACCCTTGTCAAATTAAAACGCTCTAACCTTCCACAATCTTTCACCTACCTTCCTCATTCTCCTCTGTTCGATTCAGTATCATTTGTGTACCAAACACACCCTTATGGAATAAGAGATCTTAATCTGAGTGATATCAGTGATTGAAAAACTGGTCCCCTCTCTTACTATCAGTGCTTGTAACGATAAAATGAATAATCAGCTCTAAACTATAGTGATATAATATATAATTTCTTCTTATTTGGCATGCAACTAATAGATGTTATGATTTGCAAATATCAAATACAGATAAAATCTGATTCTTTTCGTTATTTCGTTAGCAACTCGATGTGATACAAATACAATCCCTCATTCTTATTGAAGTCGTCGGATACAAGACTAAAGAATGGTTGCTATATTAAAACTTCATTTTTGGTAACGGATGTTGTTCCTAAACTTCGGAAACTCGGATGTGGACCCTCACCTTTGTCATTTCACAGCAGATTTCGACGTTAAGTTTTTCAGTTAACTTCATTTACTTGAGGGACTAGAAGTAATTGCTTTTTATGTAAAACAATATTACTGTCGTTCCAAAATAAGTGTTTGTATTTATATTTGTCTAAAAATAATTATCTATTTCTAAACAGATAACTAAATTTCCAAAATTACCCTTAACGCACAAATATCTAAGAGTTGATAAGTTATGTATATTAACTATGGGTGAAATTGTCATTTGGTTAAGTAAATAATATAAGAGTAGATTACATTATTCGTCCATGTAGTTTGCAAAAAATTACGGATTTCGTCCTTGTGGTTTCAAAATTTTGGTTTTTATCCCTATGGTTTGCAATTCATTTCTATTTTCGTCATTGAGGTTGAAACACTACTTTTAAATATGAAGGACTAAAATAGAAAGAAATTGTGAACCCTAGGGATGAAAAAAAAAACAATAAACATTAAACTATAAGGACAAAAAATTAACAAATTATAAACCATAAGAATGAAAATTTGCGATATTACAATTTTGTTATTTTATATAAAAATAGCAATATATCATAAAGTTAAGTGGTTGTTTGGTTCAGGCTGGAAAATAAAAATATAAATGAAAATGAAAACAATCTCAGCTTAACCTGGAATGAGAATGATCCCAGTTTATCCGGTCAGTAACTAATGTTGACTCAATCTACACTCTTATTCAATAAGCTCTTGCTCAATTTAAATTAGTAACCTATCCTTAATTTGTTTCAATTTCACCCTATGGTCTATGTGTGTGTATATATATATATATA